ATTCACAGAGCATAACTACCAAAAAACGACGGATAAAATTACCCGACGCTCCGCTTCCAACCTTTGACGGCCAATATGAAAATTGGCTCTCCTTTAAGAACGCGTTCAACAATATGATAGGGTCCCAAACAGATTTGTCGGACGTAGATAAATTACATTATTTGAAGTCGGCGTTGACAGGAGTAGCTGCCAATAAAACGAAGACATTTACTATCGACGGTGTAAATTACGCAAAGGCATGGGAATTGTTGGAACGCGCCTACGAGGTAAAACGCATACTAGTCTCGCGACATTTATCGCTAATCATAAACTTTCCCGCGTTAGACAGAGAATCCACAGAAGGCCTATCTAAAATAGCTGACGAATTTCAACAACACATAGCTTCGTTAAACGCGTTGGGCGTATCGGTCGGGTCAGAAATATTAGTTCATCTTTTAGAAAGTAAATTGCCAAAGGGGACCATAGATAAATGGGAAGCAACGCTACAAAGAGACGAATTTCCAAGAGTCGACCAATTATACGAATTTATATACAAAACCGCGGTTTGCGCGTCTAAACGTGAAAGAAGTAGGGTATCACCAGCTGAAAGGAATAAAGGCGAACCTCCGATGAAGAAAAGACGAAGTTATCCGTCGGGTCAAGTCTTTCTAGTAAACTCAGCACGTAATTGTATAGCGTGTAAAACAGGACGACACGCGCTTTACTCATGCGACGCATTCAAACGCTTGCCGGTACTTAAACGTATCGACATGATAAAAAACGCGAATCTGTGCTATAATTGCTTGCGATCGCATCGCGGAACGCCGTGCAGACATACTACTTGCACAATATGTCAAAAACGACATAATACGTTACTACATCTAGATAACTTCAGACCCAGCAATAAACGCGACGCGTCGAAGCCCGCAAACGAAATCTCCAAATGACTAACCGACTCGAAGGACACTAAGCTAGTAAACAACGCCACGGTATTTCGTCAGATTACTCCTCAATTAATCGCGAGCGCATCAATATATATTCGAGATTCCAAACATAATCTAATAAAATGCCGGGCTCTATTGGATACGTGTGCTACCATGAACTTGATATCAGAATCCATAATAAAACGTTTAGGGGTGTGCAGTGTCGCCTGTGCCTTGCCGATCAACACTGTTAACGACACGCAGTTCGAATCTAAAGGTTTAGTATCGATTCACATTCGATCCATCCACGACGAATTTAGTAAGAGCCTAGCATGTTTAGTTGTCCCAACAATAACCAATTTAATCCCGACAGAACCCTTTCCTCGCAACTCAATTAAGATACCAGCAAATATCAGATTAGCGGATCCAGACTTCCATCTTCCTCGCCCGGTAGACTTATTAATCGGTGCCGGCGCGACGATGTCATTATTTTCGATTGGTCAGATTAATTTATCACGTGAGGATCACGATTTAATCTTACAAAAAACGCGCTTAGGGTGGATACTTGCCGGTAGCACAATCCAAGAATACTCATCGAAAACAACAACTTGCTACCTGACAAGTTTAGAAAAACAAATAACTAAATTCTGGACTATCGAAGAAGTCGCCGTCGAAAGCCCGAGGTCGGAAGCCGACGTCGCGTGCGAGGCGCATTTTGTAAAAAACGTTACGCGAGATGATAACGGACGATATATAGTACGTTTACCATTTACCAACGCAAATAAGAATCTCGGCGAATCGCGAAACAGCGCGTACAGTCGTTTAAGGTCGCTAGAGCGTAAATTCACCAACAACCCGACGCTGAAAGACGAATATACTCGAGTAGTAGAAGAGTACATAAAACTCGGTCACATGTCTGTAATAAAGAAATCCACAAACGAGGGATATTATATGCCTCATCACGCGGTCATGAAAGAATCGAGTAATACCACCAAACTTCGAGTAGTATTCGATGCATCGGCCAAGACGAGTAACGGCGTATCCTTAAACGATACTCTACTGACAGGCCCCACTATACAAGACGACTTATTTACACATTTAATACGGTTTCGTTCACATAGATATGCTATTATTGGAGATATAGAGAAAATGTATAGGCAAGTGCTAGTACATGAAGAAGACAGACATTATCAGCAAATTCTCTGGCGCATACACGACGAAATAAAGACGCTTCAACTTAACACCTTAACATTCGGCGTTTCCTCCGCACCCTTTCTCGCAATACGGGTCATACAAAAACTCGCGGAAGACGAAGGGCATACATATCCTAGGGCGGCTCTAATCCTTAAAAAACACTTATACGTAGATAATTTATCCACCGGCGCCGAGACCATAAACGAAGCTAGAGCAATTAGAGACGAGATAATCGCGTTGTTGGCCAAGGGCGGCTTCCTCATGCGACAGTGGGCAACTAATGACGAACGGATTCTTAACGATCTCCCAACCAGCATGTTACACACAGATTTCACGGTAAACTTAGATCGCTCTCTAAGAAACTTAGGGATAACTTGGAATACTCGCGACGACAGAATATATTACTCAATTCACCCGATAACAGTTAATGAGAGGACGACAAAAAGAGGGGTCTTATCCGAAATCGCAAAAATATTCGACCCATTAGGTTTGATAGGTCCGGTCGTCATGTACGCTAAAAAATTAATGCAGGATCTTTGGCGCGCCAAACTACAATGGGACGAGTCCCTTCCGCAAGACTTATATACCGAGTGGTCGAAATTTGCGCAACAGATAGGATTGCTTAATCAGTTTTCTTATGACCGCACATTAGTGATAGAAGATTACACCGATATACAGATACACGGTTTTTGCGACGCCAGTAATAACGGTTATGGCGCGAGTCTGTACGTACGTTCGATCGGCGTCAATGGAAAAGTAATTTGCAGATTGTTATGTGCCAAATCGCGAGTCGCTCCATTAAAATCAACAACGATACCACGTTTGGAACTTTGCGGCGCGCTACTATTGGCGCGACTACTTAGGGAAGTCAATAACGCGCTAAACATTGCGACTAATAAAATCATGCTCTGGTGTGACTCGACGATCGTGCTACATTGGTTAAAGACTCCTCCCCACTTGCTTAAAACATTCGTTGCTCATCGAATCGCTGAGACACAAACACTTACCAAATCAATAGAATGGCGACATATTAAATCAGAATTCAACCCTGCCGACGCTATTTCTAGAGGGCAATTACCTCAAATTTTACTTCAAAATAAAACATGGTGCACCGGCCCTCAGTGGTTAAGTAGATCTGAAAATGAATGGCCTCGCGCGATAATGCAAACGATAGAGACTCCCGAACTGAAAAGAAACACTTGTCTAATGATAACACCCCGCGATCCCGACATATTTAAAAGATACTCATCGTATTCCAAATTACGCAGGATTATCGCGTATTGTTTCCGGTTTCATCCTCTCAACAAATACAAGGGCAATTTAACAGTCGAAGAAATCGAAACAGCGGAAGTGAAAATATTAAGAATAATCCAATCATCTCAATTTTCCGAGGAAATTAAGGGACTTAAATCAAAGGGTGTCACTAACAGAAATAGAATAGCCAACTTGAACCCATTTCTGGATAACGATGGCCTGATTCGGGTAGGAGGACGTCTGCGAAAGGCGAATCTATCTTACTCACAAAGATACCCCATTTTGCTTCCAAGCCGACATTACCTAACCGATTGTATTATCCGCGAAACTCACGAGACGCGACATCATACAGGTATATTAGGTACCTTATACAATATTCGTCAGAAATTTTGGATTTTAGACGGCCGAAACCAGGTACGAAAAATCGTTCACTCTTGTGTGCGTTGCTATCGATTCAATAACGACACCATAAAATACAAAATGGGAAATCTTCCGCAAGTTCGAGTGCGCGAAGCCATTCCCTTCGCCAATACCGGCGTCGATTTTTGCGGACCGTTTTACATTAAAGAGAAAAAACACCGCAATCGCAGTCGAATAAAGGTGTACGTTTGTGTATTTGT